AAGCCCTTGAGAAGCTTTTAGTCAGGTGAAGAGTGACTGGGTGAAACCTGATCCATTTTCTATACTTCCTTTATAAGAAATATATACACTTTCCAAAATCTCAAAACAAAAAAAAATCCTCCAGAAAAATCCCTGAGAATAGCAAATGCCATGCAGCTCCTTTTCACGGAAACAAACCCAGCACTCCAGGGAAGGATGGAGGGTGAGGATGGTCAGCATCTTCAAGGACTCGTCCCCTCTGAGCAGCACCACCAGGGGTACACGGCCACCTAGCACATGTCCCACCAGCTCAGGGAGACCTGTGCCAGGGAAGGCTCAGGACCAGGCCCTGCTACGGATGTGCCCCCACGCAGTCTCAGTGCTTCAGGGATTCTGCATGGTCGTTGTCAGAATAAAACAATACCAAATTCTTCAATCTCTAAGTTCCAAAGGAGGAAACACTGGAAGCATGGCACAGTGAACTCCTTACTGCACTCATGCTGACCCTGTCAGCTTGCTCATTCTCATTCCCATTTCCAATATACGTTTTTATATGCACCTCTTTTCTCTGCCTCATTTAAGAATAAGATGTTTAAGCATGCATCTTTTAATAAGTTATCTACATAATCATAAGATAGGTTAATATGCTCTAAATATGTCTACTATATAAGAAACTGTTATTATAGAAATTCAGAAAACATACAAAATTATAAAGGGAATTCAAGTCATCCATATTTACAAGACATAGAAATAACCATAGTTAATGATTTATAATTTGTAAGAGCATAATGTAAGAATACTTTATTATTACAAAACATAACATTGTTTTATTGTTTTGATACCTTTTCATTTCTTTCATGTTAATTAACATGCCCTGTAATACCACTTTTATTACCTATGTGGTAGACGTGGACATACCATAGTCATCTCAGCCAATTCCTCACCATTGGCTCTATAGGACTGTCCTCAGTGTTGTTTTGCTACTATTATAAGCAGTCCTTCTAGGAACAGGATGATTCTTTCTATTAATAAAAATGTACTGCCCATAATCTTTATTGTATATATTCTCCTGATGCAAAAGGAAAAGCAAATTTCAAAAGCTAAAGACCAATTCTGCAGAGATAGGAAAACAAAACTTAAGAAAGGTTATCCTGGGGGCCACCATGGTTTAATTTCAACAAGGAAATTAGTAGGGACACACAAAATTCAGGATGCAAATCACAGCCCCAAATACATTTTTCAACTGAGTTTCTTTTACATATTTATATAAAGATGGTTTAATTGGAAACATAGCCATCTAAAATGCATTTCTCCAAAAATAAAACATTAATATTATAATTGTGCCAAACATGATATTAAATTATCAAGAGTCAACTGGGATTATGTTTATGAAACTAAGTTATAAAAATTTCAACATGTTCAATATTTAAAATTTTAATAAAATTGGAAGAAAGCAAAGATATTAAAAATGAAAATTTTTAGTAATGCTAGAAAAAAGAAACCCAAGAAAAAAAGGAGCAAATAATAATATGAGAAATCATGCAATTAAGTCAAACCCTGCCATCCAGTGTTAAGGATCGCCATTCACTTAACTTGGGAAGCATAGTCTTAACAAGTGCCGGGTGATAGCAGGATTTTAGGGACCATGCTTGCCACAATCAATTGTCTACCATGAGCCAGCACTGAGTATCATAAGGATAGGATTTTACTCACCCCCTCACAAAGAACCCCCGAGGCAACCTGGGCTTAGAGAGGTAAGCAGCTTGCTCACAAATAGCAAGTAGGGGAGCCAGATGTGCCCTCATCAGTGTCTCCAATGCCAGTGCTACGCACTCCCAGTGCAAGTGGGCAGACAATAGGAGCACCCACGTCCAATGAGTGGGGCGTGGTGGCCATCTGGGCGGGGAAGTCGCTGAATCTCGATGCAACCTTGGCTAAATGGTTTCAAGTATCAGTAACTGTCTTACTAATAGGATAATCATTCCACAAAGCTCTAATTTTGCTATCTACAAATAAATTTTAGAATGAGATTCAGAAACATACCTACAGATATGCATGCCTCTAAGAAGTCTTAATGCTTTTCTATTTACAACTGTAAAATAGAACATTATCAATCCACTGAGAAGCAGTCCCTACACAGAAGAGTCAGGCTGGCCAAGCTCCTACTCACTGGCTGGCTTTGAAGATCCAGATTCCAGCAAAGGCAACCAGGAGGGACAGGAAGGTGTCAGAGCAGCAGCTTCAGAAGCCCTTAAACATGCTGGGAAGGAACAGCCCAGCCAGGCAGACCCAACTCTGCAGGCTGGGGCCATACTGCAGGAGCAGCTGGCTCTTCTCAGCCTGTCCACCTGGCCTGCCCCAGACACACACACCTACACATCACACATGCACTCACACCCGTGGGTGCTCTTTTGGCTAGGTGTTTACCATGCGAAATCCATCTGGAGTGTTAGTTCCCATAATGTGGCCTGAGCGCTCCTGGGCACCCACGACTCTCACCAGACCCTCAAAGGAACCAGGTTGTCCTGGGAAGGCCCGTGGAGGTGCATCATTTTTAGGACAGGAAAAGGCAAGTAAAGGGGAAGCAAACATCACTTGTCCATGCAGGAGAAGAAACCCACACCAGGAATGTGTGGAAGTCAGATGCCAGCTGCCAGGCAGCTGTGTCACCCTGATACTGCCTAGCACTTCCCATTTCCACCAACCCACCAATGCCCGGTAGTCAGCACTGAACAGGTGTGACATGAGATATAAATTAAAAGGATTGTAAAATGTGCAAGTAAAATGAGCCTGATGTTAAACAGAAAAGTCTAGTTACAAGTGGACAGCTACATCAACAATTAGTTGTACGACTATTTGTGTGGACACACACACACACTCACTCACTCACTTCCCATCTCAACATATACTCGCATTGTCATCTGTGGGTATATGTGCCTGTCTGTATGAGCACCGGGCCTCAGCATCTGTCTGTTCACATATGTGCTGGAATGCGGGTGTGGCTCACCGTGGCTTGGCGGGGCTGCTGGCATCGGGGAACCCTGTTCTCTTCATCAGAAGCCACGTGAATAGGACAATCTGCACAACAGGTGGCACAGATTCAGGCACACCATAAATCAAATCATAGGTGAGTGTTCTTTAGCTTTTAGAATAAGTCTTTATGTTATATACAACATGGGACAAAATACAGTACAACAACAAAAAACATGATATAAAAATTCAATATTTTATCAGAGGAAATTCTTGAATCTCAAAAAATGCTCTTATTACTGCAATTCTATGGGGTATAATCATTAAAATTTTAGGAGCCATTACGATTATAAGAGCTTTGCTCCACCCCACTGTTCACCCATTCTTTGTTATGAGTACATAAAGTATGGGCATAAGGACTCTCACATTCGGGACATCTGAACGCCAAGGGCTGGCTGGCATCACCCTTTCTGTGCTGGAAGCTATCTTTGTGTGTTCTAAGCAACACAAGTCCCTGTATTGAATGCTCCACACCAGACTGACTCAGTCGCATCAGGATGTTCCCAGGCATCACTGTGAACCTGTCACCCTGACATGCAGCTACCACACGCACTCCCTCTTCCCTACTCTCTCCTGCACACATAAATGGTGAGCAGGAGTGACTCCATGCAGTCTGCCAAGCACCCTCAATCACAGCTCTATACAGCCCCAGTGCATAGGGCAGGGCTGCCTAGAGACCTCAGAGCCTGCCCAGGACCTCCCCGCTCTCTGCAAGCTGTATACAGGCAGCCGCCATCGACGTGCTTTCCAGAGCACATGACTAGATGAGGCCCTCTGCTGCCCCTATCCTGTCCAGCTCATCACTGGATGTGGTGCTTTCTCTTGACCAGTGCACGGCAGAAAGGCCTCTTCTGCTCTGCGGAGCCCCACAGCCAAAGCCATCCCACAATGCTGAGCCACGGTGCTCACGTGTGTCATTTAGAAGCATCTAGTGGCCCCACTAAGACAACAAATACTACAGTGACTACATGTCCATTAGCTTAAGGCACAAAATATCCAAAATAATAAATCATGCACCATTGTCCCTCCTCCTCCGTGTCCAGCAATCACAGACTTGGTTCTTTGGCCACATGCGTGCTGGCATTCCTGCCTTCACAGCAGTCGCTGTGCTACACCGACAGGTCCTGGGGATATAATGGTCAATAAAAAACAAATCCCATGGCCTTGAGGAGGAAGCTTCTTGAGCATAGTCAGCCTGCGGATTTCCCCATGCAATACTATCCAGTCGCGAAGACGGGTGAGCTGAGGGTGCTCAGAGCCTAGAGCTGCTTTCAAGTCTTTTTCAATGACAGATAAATCCAGACAGGGTCCTTCAAAAACACTTAGTAACTGAATAACCCTTTAGCAGGGTACCCACTTTCTTGACAGGCACTGCACAAGATGCAGTCAGAAAGAAGGGGGCCCCTGGGAAGCAAGCCAGTGCATAGTGCTCACCCAGTAAATGCCCAGGGCATCCGAGCAGCTTCCACGGCTTCTCAAAGTTAAAGGGGCCACATTTGGTGACAGTTACAGGAAGGGGTGGAGAAGCAGCCCCTCCGCCTTTGATAAAAGGTGACATCTACTCCCTATTCCCTCATTTTGAGTCCTAAACAGGGCAAGCCAGGTGCGGATGGTGCACACTTGTAACCCCAGAGGCTTGGGAGGCTGAGCAGGAGGATGGCAAGTTCAAGGCCAGCCTCAGCAACTTAGTAAGACCCTTTCTCAAATAAAAAATAAAAAGGGTTGTTGGTATGTCTGAGTGATTAAGCAACCCAGTTCAAGCCCCAATACAAAAAAATAAATAAAAACCAACCCCACACAGGGTCAACCACGGCTATATCACGACTTAACATCAACAAAATTATTTCCACTTGCAGGCATTTTACTTTTTTGGGGAAATTCAGTTATTCAAAACCAGTCTAGAGTGAGGCACTGGACGTCACAGCACTATGGAAGGCAGCCTCCAGCTGGGAGCTAATGTCTGGGTGTCTGGCCCCAGGCCCATGCCCTACCTGTGTGGCTCCGGATGTGGACCCTCAGTGTCCCGCTGCTGGCGAACTTCTGGCCACAATATGGGCAGACCTTCTCCTTTTCTCCTGTGTGTGTCTGAAGGGAAGGGAGACAAGTAGGAAGAATTAGGGCTGATTAAGTGTCTCTGACAATAGTAAATCCTTATTTTCCAGGATTATGTTTCATTAAAATGATTTAAAATCACAATGAGATTTAAACAATTTATCATGGATATTCCCATGGGTTCAAATGAACCCTCAGAATTGTGTGTTAGTGTTAATTTGAAAACAGTTCTGTAGTTCACTTTTTAAGGCTTTATGGAGCACCCACCAAAATGTGATGAAGTTACAGGAAACCACGTAAATGAGCAAAACCCAGAGCCAGGAGGGGCAAATGCACCCACTCTGCCAAGACCACTCCTGGAAGCACCTCCTACATTCTGTGTGCATTTAACTCTTGAGGACAGAATTAATATCAATAAAGCCATCTGTTACTTAATTATGATTATCTGGAATGATTTTACTGCAAAGCAGAAAGGGACACAGATCTAATGAGACCTCAAGCCAGCAGGTGTTAACTAAATATAGTCAGTGTGAAGCCCTGCTCTCAGTACCTTTCATCCAGGCATAAGACCTTCCCACCAAGAGAAGTGAGTGGTGTCCTCAAAAGTGAGTAGCAACCAATGTCCATAATTTAAAGCAAAGAGACCTTTCCGGAAAGTGGAGGTATGAAACTTGGACCCCTCTCATCAGGAGACCAGTTTTTCCACCAATATCAAAACATATTGTTCCAATACATGAGAGGTGAAAGCCCTCTGTCAGACCCCAGTGTTTCTCATGGGAAGGCTGGAGGGGAGGCATGGAATTCCTGCAGGTATCTGCACGCAGTCTCTGAGACAATTTTCAGGGTGTTTTCCCAATGATAACCTAACAATTAAAAAGCAGGGAGTGAACCAACTGGGCTACCATCGCTGAGCAGAGCTTCCGGACCTGAGCCTGCATCTGCTCTCCTGCAAATTACTGGCAGGTACTGCTACGCGCATTACCATGGACCAGCCAAAAGGGAACAGGAAAGGGGTTTTTAATGGAATGTTCTCAGAAGGGAAACGGGGGAGAGCAGAAGAGACAGCAGACACTTTGCCACCTGGCCACCCCAAAGGACTGACACAAACACACTTCCATCTTTCAATCAATTAGTTACTAACTCTAACATAGTTAGTTTCATGTCTTATTGGTATTTAATTTGCAAATTACACGATGGTATAAAAAGATGTATTGAAATGTGCACAATTGGGTTTGTGATTTTTAAAATGGCTATAAACTAAAATACCTTATTAACATTAGATAGCTCAGTCCTGCACAACTGTTTCCCTTGAAAGGATTCATACTACAAGCAAGTTGGAGAAACAGCCTCATCAGCCCCGTACCCACCAAAGGTGCCATCTGCGATGGCACCCTTAATTCTGCACGTGGCAGGTACTTGACTTTCTCTCTCACCAATAGTCCTGCCTGTGCACTAGGGAAGAGCCTTTGCCTGGCACCTTGGGCCCATGTTGAGGGAAGGAGGAGCCGACCTACAACAGACCTGTCTTCTCACGCCCCACAGAGGGCAGGGGACAGCAAGTCCTCCCTGGGCAGCTCGAGGTCCTCTGGAAAGCGTGCATCTGCTATTATCACCCTGGCTGCTCAAACAGGAGGTGGCCCGCTAACTGTGGCATCTCCATGAGACCCCAGCAATTTTGCTGCCATGACACTGCCTCACTATTCAGTTACATGTTACATGTGCTGAAATCCCAGATAGTATGGAAGGTTTCAAACTAGACACTAAGGCTGCATCAATAAAACAAATTAAAATATTTTTTTAACTAAAAAATGTATCTTATCATTAGCAACAGAATCTGCTTAGACACCTTAAGACACTGAAAGTACAAAACTCAACTACCTGAAATGTGCCTAAGAAAGCCTAGAAGCCTCTTACTGGAACATGCCATGTACACATATGAGATGAAAGAGAGCAACGCACTGTCACGACACACGACTAAACCAGTGAGGGTCATTCCGAGTGAATTTGGGGACTACATAAAGACACAGACACAGACACAGAAAACACCTTTTCTTTGAGTTCAATGACGCTCCTAAGCCACAGCTCCCACAAGGGGAGCAAGGCAGGCAAGAAAGAAAGAGAGCACACCTCGAACCCGGGTTTTATTGGGAGAAGCCATTCAAACGAGGCAAGGGGTCAGGTTTCAGGGGGTTGAGTCTAGCTTCCTGATGTCTGCTGACAGCTTGGAAGGCCACACCCATCTCATATGCTATGTGATGATCAAAGGCAGAATAAGCAAAAGGGACACCCACGTGCACAGCCCAGACAGAGCAGCATCGTCAGTCCAGTCCACTTTGTGTTCAAGATGCGCACAGCTCACACACAGCCCATGGCTGGCTCGCCACAACGCACCTCTGTGTGATGGTGTGCTAGCAGACAACAGCAAGATCACCCTTCAAAACCCATTCTTATTTTCCTCACTTACCACAAAAATTTTTTTTAAATTGTAAATACATGCAAAAAAAGTAATGCATCCAAAAAGCTTCATTACCCTTGAACATTAGAGACATGGAAGAGACAGCTGCTCAGGTCCGTCCTTCTGAAGGGGCCAGGTTAAAGACAGGCCCCAAAGTCCCACATCTCCAACTCCCTTGGTAGCACACTTCAATCATTCCTGAGCTCAACATTAAAACCTTTAACTGCATTTGTTACAAAATGAATTTTGCTATTTCAAAAGTGTACTTTAAATGCATGTTTTCAACAAATGGAAAACAAACTATTGACATGCTTGAGGTACCATGCAACTAGCGTGAGGCAGATCACACCATCCCCACATTGCTCTGAGTAAGGCACCACCTTGTAGGAGCTGAGCAAAGACTTATGAAATCCTTGTCCTTGTCAGGAACCTCCCTGTGCCCTAGAGAGTGAAGACAAAGGGCCAGGCCAATCCAGGAAGGCCCAGTCTAATTACTTCAATTATTCCCAACACAATCTGAATTACCTGGGAAAAAAGAAACTTACTAAGGAAAAATGCATAGTTTTTAAAAGAAAAAAAATCTACATTAACCCCCAAATGTGTAAAGATGGATAAGCTCCTACTCACTGAATATCTGTATGACCCACTAATCCACAAGGGTCATGTAGAATCTATATCTGACTCTGAGCTTCCTTCATGGAGAAAACACGTCTATTCTGCAAAATGGGAAAGCTACGTTTACTGAGGAGGTGGTATAAACCTGTCGTTTTGTTGGAACAGCTGAGGGGTTGGGGGAACTGGCCTGCACCCACAGAACTCTACCCTGGGGAGGCTTCCACTCACCTTCTTGTGGCTTCTGAGCACAGACGGTGTGACGAAGGCCTTGTTGCACAGCTCACAACTGTACTTCTTGTGTCTCTCGTGGACCACCTGGACGTGGACATTCAATGTGTCCTTCCTTTTGAAGGTGGCCTCACAGTGGTGACACTTAAAAGTCCTCTCACCTGGGAAACAGAGTCAGATGACAGAACCAGGAACAGGCAGGGCCCCATTACCCCCTACCAAGTTCCTTGTAGCTCTGGCAGTTTCTCGTAACCATGAAAGCTCACTGTATGCAGCAGCTCCCATCCGCCTGTACTGACTCACTTGGTGGCTGCAGAAAGTCCCCATGACCCAAGGAAAGCCCTGGAACCTATATTGTCAGTCTCCCCCACTGGAAAACATGGGAGTGACTCAGCTGATGCTCCACAGGGAGAGCGAACACACTTTAAATATGCATCTCCAGTTGACATGCTCAGCTTGGGTGAAGGAGACCCTGGCAGTGACATGAGGCCACTGTCCAGCAAGGCCAGTGGTTTGGCCCCTCCCACACTCCCCTCAAAACACCCCATGTGGGCCCTGAGGCCTCCAGGACAGGGCCCAGCAAGCTGGGCTGCAGGGTAGAGCTCGGGAGGAAATCCCAGGAAGACAGGCCCACTCAGGGCTGCCTTGCACTCTGAAGAGGGAGGAGATGGCAGCTGCTCACCTACCAGATCTCAGAACCCCTCAATGGGCCCTGAATGCTGGGGCAGCTCCCCAGGCCCTTAGAAGGGGAGAGAGGGATGGCATTCCCCTCCCTTCAGTATGCAGCCTAGGCCCCAGGGGAACAATTCCAAACAACAACAACAAAAAAAAAAAAAAAAACACTAAGGATCTTGGGGAGCTTGAAACCTTTCCTAAAATGCGTCTTTGACACTCCTCTTAAGACGTGGGCCTACTTTAGGTGATCACTCTAGTACAGCTTCAGCAGTGAATGTGCATAATTAAGAGACAGGGCTTTGTAACAGAACATTACGAACACACGCAGACAGGATGCAACTGAACTTCCCCTTTAGAGAACTAAATGGGCACGTGGCCCACAGGCAGACCATAGGTCCAATGGAGAGCACCTCACTTTCAGCCCAGCCCTCTTACATCCTCCCTTCCCCCTGCACCAGCACTAAATTTAGAAAGGGGAAGATTCTTGGGATTTCTTCATTCTACATTTAAGAAAGGAAGAACAGACAAAAAGAAGGAAAAAAGAAAAGGAAACCAATTCCCTCCCTTGTCTTGTCTTGTCTTTTTTTGGTACCTGGGACTGATCTCAGGGGTACTAGACCACTGAGCCTTATCCCCAGCCCTATTCTGAATCATTAAGAAAGTAAGGAAACACCAACTGATGCGGGATCATGAGTGCTAATGAGAATGATTTCAAATGAATTCAGGAGCTGGAAAGATCTTAGAAGTAAAGGAAAAAAAAAAACAACAACAAACCCAAGATCGCTGCAAGGCATTTTTATTGAACTATCAAATGAATCAAATTATTGGTTCCCATACAAACACTTTACCAAGTTACTCCAAGGAAGTTCTGACCTTCTTCATATTTGAATTTTTGACTTCTTTGTCTTCATCAGATGAGACTGTCTTATTTATTTTGTCAGATTTGTTTATCTTTAGTTTATCAGATTTTTTCCCCTCCTAATACCTAGAAGTTAGTAAGCAGCCTCTCCTGGTTTTCAGTATACAAGAAAACGGCAAAAATTTCCAAAGTAATAAGATAATGGTTTAATATTTTAGCCAGAATGCAGAGGCAAGTTTCTAACATCAGCCTTTGTGTTTTAAAGTAAATGGGTTTGAATTTTCATGATGTGTGAGACAAGACAGACCTAGTGTTTGGTCCTCTCTATTCCGCCCACATCTGTTTTCTCAGCTTGCTAACTCCAAGCCTTCACTGACGTCTACCTTTCCCTTCAAACATCAAGGTGCCTCTCCTGACAGATGGCACTGGGCGGCTTCAGGAAGCCTCTCAAAAGGTGCAGAGGGTGCCGAGGACATCACAGAAAAGACATGGCACACAGAACCCACCCTTATTTCTCAAGATGATAAGAATCAAATGCCTTGCTATTATGAAAAACAAAATTTCATTTTGCACAGAAAAATATCCCAAGCATCACAACCAATTTGGCTGTATAAATCTTAAAATGAGGCTCACTTCTTCAAATCCCTATCTTAGAACCCATTAATCTCATTTGCAGCCCCTTCTCTTAGACTAAGCAAGAGTGGAACAGGCAGCAGCTGCTACTGTCCCACAGGCTCGTCCTCTGTGAGGGAGTGGGAGCTGTGCTGGAGGTTCCCACAGAGCCTGGGGTGACAGGGCAGGTCTGAGAGCCTGGGAGCTCTCCAGGGAGGTGATACACATCCTCACCCCACCTCAAGGCACTTGCAAGCCTCTGTCTTCACCACTTTTCATCATAGACACCTGAACTTGACAGAGAAATTCCTTCCAGGACAAAGCTGATGTCCTATTGTCCCAGAAACTCAAGGCTTCCGCAGTGTCAGGAACTTGCCATGTGCTCAGGGTTTTCGACTGATAAAGGGTCTCAAGTTAAAAGAAGTGTAAATATTCCCCACGCTGCACACTGTTTTCTAGTTTCTGATGTGCTAGTGCAGTGCATCTCTGGTCACTTTAACATCTGAATCCACCTTAAAACTCAGCTCAGCAGTACTGTTCTCCTTCCCAGAAGTGATGTTCTTCAGTGGTTAATTCTGTAAAGTTCTCAAATAGCGTCTACTATAACTCTTAGACTCTCATAGTGTGTTTGTGCAAACATTAACACAAAAGGAAAAAAAAAATCTCCTCTGCCAAATCTGTGAGAAATCAGAGGTAGCACAGCAGGGAGCAACACCCTGCTGTCAGAGACCCCACTCAGGCCTGCTTCCTTAGCCTCAGTAGTCTCGATTCCTCTCAAATTAAGGTTCTAGATGATGCCAAGTACAATGGCACATGCCTGTAATCCCAGTGGCTTGGGAAGCTGAGGCAGGAGGATCACAAGTTTGAAGCCAGCTTCAGCAACTTAGTGAGGCCCCAAGCAACTTAGTGAGACCCTGTCTCAAAATAAAAAACAAAACATGCTGGGGATGTGGGTCAGTTCTTAAGTGCCTCTGGGTTCAATCCCCAACCTCCCCCTCCAAAATCCAATGTGCACTGTGATCCTCTCCAACTTTAAAGTCTATAAGTTGTCAAATCATGTCACTATGCCCATGCTTTAAAGAGGCATGCCTGCTCAGGGGTAGCCTGACACGTGTGAGGCACTGGGTTCAATCATCATAAAAATAAATTAAAGGTATTGTGTCCATCTACAACCAAAATAAATTTAGAAAAATTTTCTAAAAAAGAGGCAGGCCTGCTTTCTTGTTCGACACAACTGAGAGGGAAAGGATGTCTTCAAAACAAAACTCAAAGCTCCCCCACTGAGTCTGAGACTCACTCTATGTACAAACTATAAATCCATGGAAGAAAAGACAGAAAATGAAGTACCTCACAAGACAACTGATCTTACTGTGGGGAAAAACGTCATGACAGAGGAAGTAAAGGTGAAAGGCAGGACTGCCAGTCCTCTCCTGTTCAGGAACAGATGCCCTAACCACGTATGGCTGGGCTTCTGGGAGGCCCAAGATCCCCAGGGCTCTAAGAACAGGGTGGGAAAGCCCCTCTGCTTCCCCACTGCCCACACAGGCACTTACTGGTGTGTATCAGCAGGTGTCTCTGCAAGGAAAAGGGCGTCCGGAACAAAGCTTTGCACTCCTCACACTGGAAGGGCCTCTCCTGGGAGTGGGTCTGCAGAAGAGAAACATCAGAGTCAGGAGAAGGGCAGGCCAGCGGTCACTGCAGAGCAGAACAGGGAGGCACAATGCCAAGGGGTGGAGAGGAAGGAGTGGGGGTCCTGCATTCTCCCGCCACTCAAACATGGGGCTGTGCGCACAGGCACAAAACAGGCACACCATCGAACCCTTACATTAATAAAAAATGTGGTAAATAGCCAAGAAAATTGCTCCTGCTATCTTAAGTTGCTAATCTGAACACGATAACTTCCCTGGTTCTATTCTGCTTGGATCTACTCTGCAGAGTGAATGGTGGGCGCCCCCTCTCAAGACTCAACCTCCTGTAGCCAGGTGTGAACTACACTGGGACACTCTGGCCCTCTTCCCCTGAGCTGAAGCTTCCCTGAATGATTCCCAGCCCTCAGCAGGCAGCAGGCCTCGGTGCTGCCCATCCCCATGTTACACCGGGGAAGGGGATATGCTCTGGTTAAGCCTATTTGACAGCTGCTAGATATTTAGCTTGTGTCAAATGCTAGGTGAACCCCTCATAGGAATCACTTCAATTAATTCCAACAGCAACTGGACTAATGAAACGCTGCTGTTGTCACCATTTTACAGAGAGAAAAGGAAGGCTTGAAAGGTGTCATTAACTATCCAAGATCAAGCAGTGTGGAGGCACAGGCACACGGGAAGTAAGGGCACACTGATAAGCAGCAGCAGGGCAGGCCCCCATCAGATCTCAAACCCGGAGACAGAGACACAGGGCAGCTTCCCGCCCCTGCTTTCTGTTCCACGCAGGATAAGCCCACCGAGCACACCGTGTGAAAGGAGGTTCATTCTGCCATGGATGGCAGGATGAGAAGGGCCATAATTTCAAAAGAAAAAAAACTGAACTAGACTCTTATTACAATAAAGGAGACCACCTGAGTTCCGTGATATATGTGGTACAAAAATACAGAGAATACTTTTTTAAAGTCACTTTATGCACACCAGATTGCTTAAAATTTTCATAGCTTAATGGCCAGTCTAAAACACAAGATCCAAGCATCATCTATTAACACAACATTGGTAATAAAGTGATTACTACACTGTTTTCAGTTGTGAAAAATATAAAGGATGGAAGAAATGGACATTAAAGTCAAGGATAAATCAAAGAAAATCCAATGTATTCTTCAGCCACAGAATTCTTTAGCACCAAAGTTAAAATGAAAGCATGGAAACGGATCAATGGAAGTCAGCACTAATGAGGACTTTTCCCTGGTTACACAGAACATGTGAACACCCAGGGCGGGAGTGGGCGCTGCTCAACAGGGAACAAGCCCAACCGCTAGCTGAAGGGCTGGGAGCCGCCCTGTGGACGTTCAAGGACAAGGCCAGGCCTGTTCTCACTCCTTACATTAAGATTCACACGGATCCAGCTCGCTTTAAGAACAAAACCTAAAGGTGCTGGAAGAAAGTATGAATGGATTTTTAAATAATTTTTGAGTGGAGAAAGGCTTTGTAATCATGGTAGAGAACCAGGTGTTCAGATAACAGAAATAAATGAACTCAAAACTGCAAAGTGAGACTATTCAGTGACAGGCAAAGGAAATATCTGCAGCAGAAAATAAGAGCTTGATGTTGCGAATGCAGAGAGTTATGCATAGCAGCAAGGAGAGGTGAGCTCCAGAAGAACGTCAGCAGCCAGCTCGCTCCAGGTGGCCCTGGAACATTGCTTGTCACATGATGCCACCTGTCTAGGCTGTGTACCTCGGGGCACTGCGTGCTGGTTCTGGCTGTTATGACAGGGAAACAGCAGCAAAGAGAAAAGACATAGTTCCTGCTACCCTGGAGTGGGTCGCTGGTGGGGAAAGAGCCAGGGGAGTGACCTGTCAGGGAGGCACACCTGCACGGAGAATGGGCAGGAAGAGGTTAGACGGCCAGCGCTGCAGACAATAGGCTGGGACTCTGCAGGGAGGCCAGCAAGGGCAGGGGTCTGGGCCCAGGTGGGAAGCAGCCAGGGGGCCCGCCTGGTGCAGCACAGGAAGAGCAGGGAAAAGGGAAGACCCACAGAGGACCAGGGGGAGGGAGAGATGAGGCATGTAGGATGTGCTCTGCCAAGAGAGACGATCGTGTCCAGGGTTTGGGCAGCTGAGTGGCAACTCTTGCTTCACACTTAACAGAATGCCATGGTGACCGTGTTGGGAACAGGACACAGGGATCACAAAGAGCAGGAAAACTGGAGAAGAGTGGCAATAAACCAGCCAGTGGAGCTATCACTGAAGGTCCAAAAGCGCGTGCATGGCAGGGTGCCATGTGTCCTGGAGAAGGAGGAGGCTGCAGGGAGGGACAAGGACACAGAGGGAGCAGCATGACTTTAGGGTCTGCAGCCAAGTCATGCAGCCATGGATGGCCACTAGCAGACATGAGGGCCAGCAGGCACCAAGTGGGTCCACGAAGACCGGCAGTCCATCTGGCCAAGTTCAGGTGTCTAGAAGGCAGGAAAACACTTCCAGTATGGACTACAGGATTCCAAGGTATCTACACTACACATGGTACTAATACTTAATTCTCAAATACAATGAAAAAGTGGAAAATTAGAAGCAAAGATAGTATCTCAGCTGCCAAACATGAAGAAAAGGGGCATCTTTCAGGGCTGGCTGAAAGTGGGGCAGTCTCACCCGCTGTACCTGGGCTGCCAGCCTTCTGGGGGCAGGGTAGCACTCTGCACCAAAGGACAAACACACACCCCACCTAGCCAGCTGCCTCTGCAGAAACACATCTGACAAGTGTTCAAACAAATTTTTACAAAAGGAAAATGCCTCAATGCCCACAAAAGATGTAAATGTGGTTAATTAAATTATAGTGGAACTCAAAACTGCAAAGTGAGACTCTTTAGTGACAGGCAAAGGAAATATCTGCAGCAGAAAATAAGAGCTTGATGTTGCAAATGCTGAGAGCTCTGCTTAGCAGCGAGGAGAGGGGAGCTCCAGAAGAACAACAGGAAAACAGTCACAAAACTAGTAAAAATAACTCAAGATAAAACAAATTATGATTGTACTTTTCCTTTCTTTAATAAGGAAAGTCATCTGTAACATGTTTTGAGTGTCAAAAGTCGAAGTCGAACATTATGCATGGAGGACCACACTCTGCACACTCTGTGGGGACGGAGCCAGGGAGGGCTCTGCGGAACACCTAGGAGGGCTGGGGGCAGGAGGCGGCGGCTGTCCCACACAGCATTTGCATTCTTCTTATACTTTTTTATTCATTTACTTATTTTTGATGTTTGGACTTTTTACAGTAGATAGAACTATTACCAAAAGATTTTTTTTTAGAGTATTCCACCTGAAACACGGGATTGCTTTGATCTTCCAAACACACCATATTCCCTCCTGATCAGTCTTCTCTTTTTCCAAATCTAGGACAAAGAAATCCTATGGAAATTATTTCTCAGCGAAGGCCGGCAATACATCTTAGGCAGCCCACTAGCAGCAGGCAGACGGCAAGCAACTGCTCTTGTCAAGAACGCAAGCAACTGCTCTTGTCAAGAACCATCCAGCAGCACCACCAGCCGGGCCGCAGCACCTGCGGGAGAGCAGGCAGAGAAATGGTGCTGGAGGGACATGTGAGAATGGAGGTAGCACAATGCTGGCACATTGAGAGGAGAGAACTTTTGTGTCCAGCAGAAGGTATTTAACTTTTGTGTCCACCAGATGAAATTAAGCTTTTTTAGAAGTGTCTAATCCTTGAGTTTTTCATCTATAATGAGTGCCAAACTTTCCACTGATTTATTATCAGAAGGTCCTATGATAAGCAGCAGAACATCCCTGTTCAGGCGCCAAGTCCCTGGTGATACCACATCTGCCAAGGTGACAAATGAACTAGCCCTGGGCGAGTGCCATGAAACCTATCTCTTCCTATGCCAGCTACTGCAATGCACCAAGTCTGATGACTATTCCAGACATAGAAAATGCTAGGAAATATGCAACTGTTGAGATGTCACAGAATGCTTCAGGAGGTCTTTCCCATAATGTACAATAATTAGAAGATTAGTACCTTCCTAGTCACACAGCTCAAACATTTATTTCATGACGGTAGAATAAAATTTTTATCAGCACTATTCACCATTAAAAATTACAACCCTGGGGCTAGGGCTGGGGCTCAGTGGTAGAGCACTCGCCTAGCATGCATGAGGCACCGGGTTCAATCCTCAGCACCACATAAAAATAAAATAAAGATACTGTGTCCACCTAAAAAAAAAAAATAAATAAATTTTTTAAAAAATTACAACCTCGACTTTCAATAATATGTACTGCTCCACAGTAACAATATTTACTGTTAGTGGCATTTTTTTCTTTGGGCTATCTATGTTGCAGGAAAACAATCACAAGACTAGTAAAAATAACTAAAGATAAAATAAATTTGGAGCAAATATATATTTGTTATAAATATTCTTTTTAAAAAGGAGTTTTGCTGGTGAAGATGTTTTGTTGGTGAAGACCCAAGCCTGCATATCATAAGCACATTACTGTCCCACTGAGCCCCATAATGAGCCTAAAGCTATATAAATATGTGCTATCTGGCTGTTTACACAGATTGTGGATCAAAATTTTACTGTCAAATTTATAACTGGCTACTTTAAATGGCCTCCTCCTCTGAAAACTAAATTGAACTGAGAAAGATAATGAGAAATACACAAGTTCCTGCAGTAAGGAGCCGCTCATTCCACACTGCGGAGTTGGGAGTGTGTTCCAGTGGTGCTCCCACAGAAGCACATCCTTGCACAGCCAGCCCAGCAGTCCCTGCTTGAGAGCTAGAACCCCGTTTCATACACCCCATAGCCTTGAGTGTGCCCCGAGCAGGGCAGGGGATTCACCAAGAAGAGGAACAGCAATGGGCTATCAGAGCAGCCTGGGAAGGAAGCAGCTTAGACCCGCCCAGGGAGCACCCCTCCATGGCACTGCCAGGACTCTGATCTAGGACGTTTCAACAAGCCCCACTTGGACCACACATGGCCTCTAGGGGGTGAGCACCATG